GCCAGCTTGGTCTACAGAATGAGTTTCAGGGCACCCTGGGCTACACAAAGAAATTTAGTCTCAAAAAAGCAAAACATCAAGTAATTTATAAAGGTAAACCTATCAGACTTACACCAGACTTCTCTATGGAAACCATGAAACCAGAAGGTCCTGGATAGAGGTACTGCAGAAACTAAGAGACCATGGATGCAAGCCCAGACTACTATACCCAGCCAAGCTTTCGTTCACTATCAATAGAGAAAACAAAATATTCCAGGATAAAAACAAATTTAAACCATACGTAGCCACAAATCAAAAAAGCAAAATAAAACAAACCTAAAACAAAACACAAAAACATGCAAAGATCTTATCTTAGTCAATTAATGTTGCATTTGAAGGATCTAGAGCAAAAGAAACAAATATTGCCCCAAAAGGAGTAAATGGCAAGAAATAATCAAACTCTAGGGTAAAACAGAAACAAATAAACAAAAATAATACAAGTAATCAATGAAACAAAAAGTTTGCTCTTTGAGAAAAATCAAGCCTTTAATCAAATTAACTGAAAGGTGGGAAGAGAATGTCCCAATTTACAAAATTAAAAATGAAAAGGGGGATGTAACAACAGACACTGAGGAATCCAGAGAATCATAAGGATATCCTTTAAAAACCCATACTTCAGAAAGGGGTTGGGTCTGCACCAGATGGGGTCCTAGAGCTGAGATAAGTGGACACAAGCCCCCAACCCTAGCCCAGAAGGATAAAGCCCCCACCCCTAGCCCAGATGCTACCTCCAATTGATAGCCACTTGCAAATGAAAAATCAGGGTTTTTGTCCAAGGGAGTCTCACTGGGGGAAGTAAACCACTCTTAAGGGTGGACCCCATGCCCAGTAGTAGATGACCAACAGACAACAAATGGTTTCTTTCTTTTTTTATTTTTGGTTATTTATTTATTTAGTTGTTGTTTTTACATTCCACTCAAAGTTTCCCTTCCCTCCTCTCTTCCCAGGTCCACTGCACTCTCCCTCTCCCCCACCCCATCCACTCCTCCTTCACTGTTTCTGTTTAGATAGAGGCAGGCCTCCCATGGATAACTGCCAGACATGGTAGGTATGTCAAACTGCAGTGAGAATGGGTACTTCCTCTACTATTAAGGCAATCTGACATGAGGAATAGGTCTCAAGAACAGGGGACAGAGTCATAGACATCCCCTGCTCCCACTATTTTGAGTCTCAATGAAGACCAAGTTACACAACTGTAATATATAAGCAGAGGACATAGGTCAGTCCCATGCAGGTTCCCTGGTTGCCGCTTCAGTCTCTGTGAGCCCCAGTGAGCCAGGTTAGTTGGTTCTGTGTGTTTTCTTGTGGTGCCCTTGACACCACTGGGTCCTCCAATCCCTCTTCCCCCTCATTTGCAGGATTCCTCGAGCTCCATCTAATGTTTGACTGTGGGTCTCTGGATCTGTTTCCATCAGTTACTGGGCGAAGACTCTTTGAAGACAGTTGGGCTAGGCATCAATTTCTGCACATATCATTAGGAATTTAATAAGAAATCATTTTGGTGACCTTTTTTCGTCATTCACGTTTGGTTCTACCTAAGTCTCTGGGGTATCCAGTTTCTGGGTCCTGGACCTCAGGGGTGAGCTCCCTCTCAGGGTATGGGAGAAAGATCTTTTCTAGTTCCACTCATTTCCTGGCAAACTTCCTAAGCCAGCATTTCCACTTAGTGCTGAGAACATGATCACAGATATAGGGCCATCTCCTGGAGTTCGGGCAGATTATTAGGGACTCCATTCCTAGGAAAAAACTCTTTCCCTCTCTTGGCAGCCATCACTTACCACAATCTCCCCAGATAGGGGTGGGACTTCATCAGCTCCTCCACCATCCATGCCAGGATTTTGGCTGGTTTGATACCGTGCAAGTCTTCTATGTATAGTCTCGGCTTCTCTGAATTCGTGTGTCCAGCATTGCTGTTGTGTCTAGAATATACTATTTCTCTGAAAACCTCTACTACTTCTGGCTCTTTAACTTTTCTGCCTCCTCTTCCGTGGTGATCCCGAAACTTTGGGATGAGGTGTGATGTAGTGATCCTATGTAGGGCCAAGCACTTGAATACTAGTTCTCTGAATGCTCACTAATTGTGAATTTGTACCAATCATCTACTGAAAGAAATGCTTCTCTCATGAGAGTTGGAGAGCTGCACCAATCTATTGAAATAAAGATAAGTGCGTAGGAGACAGTTTAATGTATTATGTCCATTTAGCAGAATAATAAAAGGAGACTGTCTCCTAGGGTCTATGACAAACACAGATTTAGGATTTTGGCCCAGCCAAGAGTGAATTCCATCTAGTGATGCTAGCCTTAAAGCCAATCAGGAAATAGTTGGTCACTTCCTCAACATTTGTGCCCCAAATGCACCAATGGGCATGTCTTGCAAGGTAGTTATTCTTCTAGATCCCAGCATTAACTACTGGGTAAGATTGTTATTTCCCTTTCTCCCCCAGGAACCTGACTACTACCTTCCATCACTACAAAAGCTACCCAGTCGGTACCCTGGGGGTACCAGCTTGATTTCTCCATGCCCTGTGACCGAAGTGTCTGGTATCTCTAGTAATAAAGTCTTTCCATCGGGTTCTTCATGGAAATCATGAGCAATGAAAGAAGTCTATAATGTTTAGGGGTTCTGCAGGACCGCTCACTGATCATTATCTTGAAGGCACATAAGCCATACCTAGCGCTGGGATTTTTATTTGCTAGTCTGTAGTGTTTGGGAATAGAACTACCCCGCCCCATTATAAACAACAAAAGTCGTGTGTGTGTGTGTGTGTGTGTGTGTGTGTGTGTGTGTGTGTGTGTATCTACTAGGAACCTTCTACAGTGGTAGGTTTCTATGTGGCTTTCAAAAGTCTTTAGTGTTTGTTATCCTTCCCCATCACCTCTCCTTGGTCTTGCCTTTCCGCTCCCACCCCAGTTAGCTCTTTTTTGCTTCATTATTTGCCTCTCCCCCTTCTACTACCTGTGTTCTCTCTACTCACACAGTTATTGTTATATTTGACTGAACCTCTGGGCATGGAAAGATTCAGCCATAGCTACCATGACCTGTTCTTGAAACATCGAAGCCTCTAACTCTTCAACTTTGGGTCTTTTCTAATCCCCTGGCTTCCTAGAGAACAAACAGACATGACCAAGCTTTCAAAGGGAATGAAGTGAATTCTGAATAAGTGCATTCAGGTAGACTGAAGGCTTACTGCCCTGCTCTACCTCTTCGAGTCCTGGAATCTGTTCTCATATCTTGGAATCTGACAAAGAGGATGCCCGTGTTACTTTTGTGGTCAAATAGTTCCTCATGAATTTGTGGTAATTACAGACAAAAGTGTTGATTTTAAAAACAAAGCCCCAGGACAATGTGTATAATTTACTCAGTCCCAGAGGATTAATTTCTCATCCTTTAGATGGCTTTCCTGTTCAGGGTGTTCTTCATTTAGGTGGCTTTCTTAGTGATTGCCCTGGCTGCTTAGCAACCACCATTTCCAGCCTTCCCGGAACACGGAAGGGAATAGCTCACATCAGCACCATCAAGATATTTTTTGAAGAGGACTTTCTTTTATGGAAAATCAACCATACAAAACATGACTTTCCAATATATATTGTTTGGAAAAATGTTGACACTCATGTAATAAATTAAATCTGAAATTGCAAATGTTGAGTAGCTACAAGCAGAAATGTGGGTGTCTTTTTAAAAATTATGCATATTTGTATATAGGCAGACAGTGTTGATGAGCCTCTTAGGTCATTTAATTTCCAGCCATCCTCTGTGGGTCCCTTATGAATCAGGCATCATTATTCCCACGTTTGCCCTAAATGGAAGAATGTGATGAATTTGCCTGCCATTCCAGAATGCTAATAGTCTACATTGTGCTAAAGAAGCAGCAGCAATCAGCTCAATCTTATTTAGATGAGTAGGCATCGAAAGTATGAACGGAAATTAGTCAGAATATGGTGATTCATCAGAAAATTGATCAATGTAAAGGTCACTAATTTCTCCAAATTATTTTTGTCTGCTTCGCAATCCTTCTGGGTTTAATTTTCTCCATTAAATTATCCCCGAGTATACACAATTATTAAGTCAGTAGCACTTGGTCTAATTAATTCCTGATATTAAGCCTCTTGTGGGCTTTTTTCTTCTGGCTTTTTCTCAAAGTTGATTCTCACCTGTATTAGAACCCTGGCCTCACCTGCTCTGTGTGTGGGTGGTGGATGTAGGTCAAGGCAAGACCTTGGATTTCCAAGCCTTGGATTTCTTGTTTGTGAAATGGGATGGCATCAACACCAATGACCTAGGATACTGAGACTCCAATGTTAATGCATTTGGAACACTGAACAAAATGGCTGAAGGGGGGATGAGGTAAAAATTCAGTAGGCTGTGGGAAGGTTGATAACACACAGTCTGTACCTGAACAGACAGAATCTAATGAGTGGGTGCTGAGGATGTCTGCTTTCCTTCTCCTCGTAGCTCCTTGATTCTCCCCAGACCCCAAAACCAGTGCATTCCATCCACACAGACCGTCTTAGTGTTCATTAAACACTGGGCACGGGTTTCCCGATGGAACTCCCTTTTCTTGACTTTTAGCTTTGAGTAGGGCGTTATAAGAAATACTCAGGTAATATGTAGAATGTAGAAACCAGAAAGTTTGTTTGTTTTTCTTAGTTTTTAAGAGCATGTTGTCTGATCGGAAGTCAGTTGAATAGAGTACAGTTCTACCATCATCATCATCATCAAAATTATCATCATCATCATCATCATCTCATAATCATTATCATCATCACCATCAGCAGCAGCAGCCAACTGTTGCTGCTGCTGCCAACATTTTCTGAGCATCTAATGCATGGGGCTCGTGGTTGATGAGCCACACAGAGTACAAGGATTTTGCAGGCTTAGCTCTCAGAGGCTGAGGAACCTCACCAGGGAATCAGTTGTGTCTCTGCAATGCTTTGTTTGCTCTTTTCTGTTCCATGAACAGTACTTCATTGCCCCGGAGAGCTGGGGCTTCACCATCGACAGCGCTGGGACAATTTCCACAGCAACGACTTTGGATTTTGAGAGGGGCATGAGAAGGTAATGCTGTGCTGGGTTTTCTTTGGAAATGCTTGCTCCTTTGGCTTGTAGTTCCTGTCCTGAAAAAGAATTCTCCCTGTCTGATCTTCACATACTTCTCCCCTGAAGTTGCTCTTGATACTGTCTTAAAGGCGAAACGGGCACTCACCTGTAATTGTACTATTGCTGCTTTGGATGTCCGTGGGGACCCTCTCTGTGTCACCTGCTTGAGCCGCACTGAAGCACGAAGATGATTTTGGTAGTTTTATTTGTACCCTGCTGTGGAAGTCGGCAGTTCACCTCTTCAGGTGCCTGTAATGTGGAGCAGCCTTCTAACATAATAATAAGCATCCTTGAGAAGTTAGCACACGGCCACTTGGTTATTTCCTCTGCATCAGCTAAATGGGTTACCACTGGTTCAAGTTAGCATTTTTATTTTTATAATGGTTTAATGCCTACCCCTCTTCAGTTATACATTTTGTATCAAAGTGCTTCACAGGAAAGGGAGTGGACTCTGAAGGCAGACTGAGCCTCCTTGGGGTATATACCCAACAATGGTATTGCTGGGTCTTGAGGAAGGTTGTTTTCTAATTTTCTGAGAAATTGCCATACAGATATCCAAAGGGACTGTATCAGTTTGCGCTCCCACCAGCAATGCAGAAGTGTTCCCTTTAGCCCACAACTTCTGCAGCATAAATTCTCATCAATGTTTTTGATCTTCGCCATTCTTACCCATGTAAGATGGAATCTCAGAGTTGTTTGGATTTGCATTGCTCTGATGGCTAAGGATGTTGAGCATTTTTCTTAAGTGTTTTTCAGTCATTTGAGATTCCTCTGTTGAGAGTTCTCTGTTTAGGTCTGTACTCCATTTTTTTAGTGGATTATTTCTTCTTTTGATGACAAATTTCTTGAGTTCTTTGTATCTTTTGGAGATCAGACCTCTGTCAGATGTGGGGTTAGTGAAGATCTTTTCCCATTCTGTAGGCTGTCGTTTTGTCTTGTTGACTGTGTCCTTTGCTTTACAGAAGCTTTTCAGTTTCAGAAGGTCTGAATTAATAAAAACAATTTATTAATTGTTTCTCTCAGTGTCTGTGCTACTGGGGTTATGTGTAGGAAGTGGTCTTCTGTCCCAATGTGTTCAAGTATACTTCCTACTTTCTCTTCTATAAGGTTCAGTGTAGGTGGTTTTATGTTGAGGTCTTTGGTCCATTTGGACTTGAGTTTTGAGCATGGTGATAGATATGGGTCTATTTTCATTTTTCTACATGTTGATATTCACTTATGTCAGCACCATTTGTTAAATATGCTTTCTTTTTTCTATTTGATATGTTTTACTTCTTTGTCAAAAATAAGGTGTTTGTAGGTGTGTGGATTAATATCTGGGTCTTCGATTCGGTTCTATTGGTCCTCCCGTCTGTTCTTATGCCAATACCAGGTTGTTTTCAGTACTGTAGCTTTGTAGTAGAGTTTGAAGTCAGGGATTGTGATGCCTACAGAAGTTCCTTTATTGTACAGGATTGTTTTGGCTCTCCTGGGTTTTTTTCTTTCATATGGATGAAGCTGAGAACTGTTCTTTCGAGGTCTGTGAAGAATTTTGCTGGGATTTTGATAGGCATTGCATTGAATCTGTGCATTGCTTTTGGTAAGATTTTACTATGTTAATTCTACTTACCCAAGAGCATGAGAGCTACCCTAGATATTGATAAGTCTTAAGATTTGTTGACAAATGCAATTTAAAGTTTGGGAAAGGAATTTTTTTGGGGGGGCAAGTGAAAAGGAAAGATTTCTTTTTCTTTTTTTTCCTTTTTCTGAAAGCAGAGGAACTGAGGGTAGAAAATTGAAGGTGACTGCAGACTGAGAGTATTAATGGCCGATTGGCCAAGATGAGCATCTATTCTCATCTCTGCTGGTCACACCCTTCTTTCTTCCCTCCCTCCCTTTTCCTTTCCTCCCTCCATGCCTCTCTCCCTCCATTTATCCATCCTCCCTTCCTTTCCCTGTTACATCTTGGTATGGAGAGAAGGAGAGGGAATTTTGGTATATTTAAAGGTAAAATAGATCCTTTTTTAAATCTGAAGAAGAAAGTAACTCTTTGAATTTGCCTGGAACTGGAGTTTGTTGGGATCAAATCTGAAAGCATTGCTAAAGTCAGGAAATATGACCACAAGGGGTCACAGTCTAGAGATGAGAACATTTGTCATTCATAATGAAAACTTCATTTGTCTCATTTCATTAGTCATTCCTTAAGCCCCCGCATGTATCCGGGAAATAACTTGTTAACTGTGTAACAATCCTAATGTTTCCTACAGTGACTAATTTGTTTGGAAGGCTTCTTCCTTTTTTTATCTGTGTGTTTAAGTCCCCTTGTAGACTTGAACACTCTCTCTATAGACTCGAACACTCTCCTCCTTCCTGGAGATGTCATCCTGGATGACAGGATGATGTCTTCCCCACCACACTGGGGTACTCCTAACCCTTTAACCTCGGCATCTGTTAGTCTTTAATAGAGGTCAGTATTTAAAGGGTACAAATCCATAGCTATGAATGATCCTGTTTGTTACAAAAATATTAAAATGTTTCAATTGCTCCCCCCCCACATATTTATAGGAAATAACAAACTTTTTTTTTCTAAAATAAACACAAACCTTTCTTTTAAACACTTCATGCACTTGTGTGTCATGCTAAGCTCTGCCAACACTTGGCAAATGTTTTAAAAGCTACAGCCTCTTTGGTCACGTGATTTGCCCCATTTCTTTCTTTCCAAAGTGTTAGCCATTTCCGACCGCTAAAACACTTGGTCTGACTGGCATCTTAAGCAAAGGAGTCAACGGTTGTAGCTGGCCAGTCAGCCTGCTAGGTTCTGTGTCTCTAGAAACCTGCTAGTTATCAAGTCTTAACCATCCTTTTTTGTGGCTGTGCCTTTAGTTTTTCACTGGCTATTAAAGTGGTTGATCCTGGAGGACTGTTTGCTACTGGGAATCTAAAGATTTTCCTCATCAATGTCAACAACAAGCACCCCACTCTTGCCTGCAGGTAAGGAAAGACAGCATATTATTTGACCTGAACTTGGAAACATCGTCTCTCCTTCCTTCTTTTTCTTCTTTTTAACTGAGAAAGAAAATAAGCAAGCATTGTATAAAAAAACCAAATGAGATAACAAGAGTTCAAATAAAAAGGCTTACTTAGAAACTAAAACCAAAAATAGTTTTAAAGTATAAACTATATTGAAGTTGCAATAAAATAAGGGGTTATCCATGCAGTACATCCTTAATCCCTGACTTTCTGACTTAGCTCTTATTCCTCTTAAGGGAGATTCTAGTCAATGTCATAGCTAGTGAGTGTACAAAAGCATGTTGAGTGTTAGCAGCTCTATGAAGACGGTGGTGCGTGTTCAAAGGGTAAGAACACAGTAACCATGCACACAGGGTCTAGAGCAAAAGAAGCTTGTGTCCTAACCCTCTCTCAGCCACCTTCTGAAAGTTACTTAACTTCTTCAATTCTCAGTTTTCACATCTATAAAATGGAGACAAACATGGTAGTTACTTCCCAGGGAAGCCCCTGTTGGGAAGAATGCATAGCCCATGATAAGCCTTAGGGTTTTAGATAATCTGGAGCTAAGATCAGGAAGTGGTTTAGATACTTGTTGATAAATGCGATATCCATCATGCTCCCACTCTCTCCAGTCTGCCCCCCCCCTTTTTACCAATGCAAGGTATGGAAATGACAACTGGTGGGTACCACGCTAAGAACATTTCCTCTCGAAACAAGCTTATTTAGTGTTGAAAACGGGGTCTGGAGTGTCACCTCCACCAACTCAACTCTGCGTCGTAACGTCAACATCACGCTGGACGAAGAAATTCCCGTAGGGAAGACGATTGCCGTGTGCCAGGCGGCTGATGAAGATAACTTGGGCCGCTTAACCTTTGGACTGGAGGCAGTGGATGACTATTTTGCAGTAGACAAAGGTAGGTTGGGAACTCTGTTGCCCTAAGTAATTGTATACCCATCCTCCACATACCCAGTTTCTGAAGGGGAGGTAGAAAAACTAAAACCCCATCAAGAAACATCCCTTGGACAGTTTGGAAATGTCCACTGAGTGGTTCTGCAGGTTCAGCATCCCACTGACATCTCCGCTAATCCGTGTCTCTTCATGCCTGTTATGAAATTATTAACTCTATAGTTTATATACCCTTTTAGCACATGTCCTTAAACCTAACTCAGCTCTACTCTACTTCAGGGCCAAATGTTTGTGAGGGAGAAGCTGGTTTGACTGGTTAGAGTTAATCTTTTAATCTTTGTCCATTCAGTCTTGGGGGTGGGGTGCAAATCATGTCATGTTTAGAGTTGCTAAGTGGAGGACAGTGCTGGGTTATCTTTAGCACAAATGCAGGTCACCACTAAATCTAATACAGTCATTGTCCTACATATATCAACTCTGTGCTGTAAGGTTGGTTCTAGCCGTCAGTATCTGTGCTTTGCTTGGGGGATTACTTGGGATCTGATAGCTTCAATTTCCCTTTCTCTCTCACAAGACCCAGGCTGGACTTGGAGAAAGTCTACACTCAGGACTTGGTGTAGAAAGCTTCCAGCTGTTTACTCTGGCTCCTGGAATTCCTCAGGCTCTTGGACCAATGGCAGTGGCTGTCTTAATGATACTCTTTTATTGGGAGCGTTTTTTTTTTTTTCCAGGCCTCTTTCCCATGTCACATTGTCCCAGATTGCTTCTTAAATAAGCTGCTTACACTCACGTTCTCATCCCCAGTTCTTCCTGGTTTCTTCTTTGGGGTGCTTCTTTTTCAGTTAACTGCTAAGCATCTTCATAAAGCACCCAGTGATGCTTTTTTAAATACTCAGTTTGGGTGCAAAATTCTCTATTTGCTTTCTGTACTTGAAAGTTGGCCCAGACTTCTTACTGAGGTCTTGTTTCTCTGGCCCTTGCCTTGTTCTCAATCACCTACACTGCCCTCCCCAAGAATCCCCCATGCCACCCAGATTCTTTCTTCCTTTGCCTCTTGCTGTGAACCATCAGGTAGACATTTGCCTTCAGACTGCTCCCTTGTGTTTTCCAAGCACCTGACCGTTAGATATTATCTGTAAAAATCACATTATAGCGCTCATTTCCATAGTAACACATCATTTGAACTTTTTGTCTTTCTGTGTGTATCGAGGGCTGTCTCCAAGATTTGAATATAAATTCCATAAATATGGAGATTCTATGTCATCGTGCTGAATACAGTAGCTGCCACGCTTCGTGCTGCGAAGATGACACTCAGAAAATGTTTGTGGGATTAATTAAGTGATGATTAAGTGAGAGCAAGTCATGTTCTGGTAGTGTTTTCAGGATTATTTCAGATGATTCTCTGGTGGGAATCATTTCCCATCTCCTGACATTTTCTTCTGCTACATAACCTTCAAGGCCTAGAAAAGGATTTCTTCTAGAGCGCCTTCTTCATTCTCTTAATGGAAAACAATTTTGTTTTCCTCTTTATTAACATCATATGATTAATAGCGCAGCTCAGTGATAAATAGTTTAACAGTATGCATGCACTTTGAGTCAGCTCCTTAATTCTGTTGGACAGGGCATAATTTTTGCTTTTTTTTTCTGTAGCTACATGTGTAATGAGGTATTTTTGAAAATGACAGTCTGGCCCATTCTGAGCAGGATGTGCTGCTTCGTTACAGAGAAAGGGACCGTGGTGACGACCACCCGTCTCGATGTGGAGAAAACCGGCTTTGTACATGCTCTGTTTTTCTCCATTAAGGCGTGCGATGGTGACCAGAGGTGTGCAGCCATTCCGGTGACTACCTATGTTCATGGCATTAACGACAACCCGCCTTTCTGTGATCAGTATTTGATTAGGTAAGCAGGCAGCAGGTAAGCAAGAACTCAGAGTGGGGCCCAGAAAAAACAGGACTGTTGGATTTATTGGCTATCTCTGACATTGGTCGGTCATCAAGTTGAATCTTGGTTGCTCAGAAACGGTCCTCGCGAATGGCCTGCTGGTTCTGTTCATGACTGAAAGCCGAGTTTCTGAGATCGGCAGGTGGGGTCTGAGATCGAAGTGACTCTACTCCTTCCTGGCTTCAACGAAAGAACGTCAGTTTTGCTTTGTAGAATGGGATGCCAATAGAACTCCTTGAAGAATGGTTGTGAGGAATTAATGGTCTAATTTCTGGTACTGTTTCCTCACAATGCTGAGCAGATGCTATCTTATAATGGTTCTTATCATACATCTGTTAGCTTTACCAGAAACCCTGCTTACTCAGTGGAGTAGGTTTCTGGTTAAGGATGTCATTCCTGAGGTGAGGGCATGTCTCATTAAGATACTTGCCTGGCAAGCACAAGAAGCTGGGTTCAGTACCCGCGACACACATGAAAATGTGAGGTGTGGTAACAAGCTCTTGTATGCTCAGCACTGGGGAAGTGGAGACAGGTGGGTCCCTCGGGCCCACTCGCTGGCCAGGCAGCCTAGTTGACTCAGTAAGTTCCAGACCAGCAAGGACTCCACCAAAAAAAAAAAAAAAATCAAAACAACAAAAAACCAAACAAAATGGTAGGCAGTCCCTATGTAATACTACCCGAGCTTGTCCTCTGGCCTTCACATGCATGAGCACACATGTGCATCCACGTGGATCCACACACCCACATACACCTGCACATAGCTTTTGTCCTTGGCTTAAAGAATGTAGCATTTTGCGTCCATAATGCATGGCGTACCTTTCGAAGTGGGAGGATGGTGGATCTCCGCATTCAAATCGCTCTAAATGGAAACAAAAATGATCGATGGGGTGGGCAAAGGCTTGAGGTGAAGCAGTTCGTGAGGGTCAGGGTTTGATGCCAAGCAAGTGGTGAAAACATTTTGAGATTTAGAATTCCTAGATTTTGATACGTGGGTAAAGGTTTGTATTGGTGCCCGTGTGGTTATTCTGTTCATTTTTCTCCCCTTACCCCTAGCCATGTGCCTGAGAAACCACCTTCTCTGTCTCTACAACCATCCCTCTCCGTCCTTAGGACCTGCAGCCTCTCTTGCCTCCCTCTCTATTCATGACCTGTTGTTGAAGGAGGCTGCCTATTGGTTCCTGGCTGCTCGGTAGCCCAGACCCGAGATAATCACACAGAAACCATATTATTTAAATCACTGCTTGTCCCATTAGCTCTAGCTTCTTATTGGCTAACTCTTATATCTTAATTTAACCCATCTCCATTAATTTGTGCATCACCACGAGGTCGTGGCCTACCAGCAATGCTTCAGCATGTCTGTCTCTGGCAGTGGCTCCATAGCTTCTCCCTGACTCTGCCTCCTTTCTCCCAGCACTCAGTTTAGTTTTCCCACCTAGCTAAGTTCTGCCCTGCTATAGGTCCAAAGCAGTTTCTTTATTCATTAATGGTAATCACAACATACAGAGGGGACTCCCACATCAACCTATACCTACACTCACTCATATAAGAATTAGAAGCTAGAAGCTTCAAAAGAGAGTATCTGTCTTTCTGAGACTGGGCTACCTCACTTAGTATAATAATCTTCACATTAATCTATTTCCTGATATTTATGTAATTTTATTTACAACTGAATAAAATTCCCTCTTGCATATGTGTGTGCCATGTTTTTATTGTTCATTAATTAATTGATAGACATTGATGCCACTTTCATTTCTAGCTATTGTGATGAGAGCTATTATAAACCTGGATGTGTTGGCAGAGGCTTCATTTCTGGCTGCCCAGACTCGAAATAACCACACAGAAAACGTTTTCATTATAACACTACTTGGCCAATGACTCGACCATATTCCTAGCAAGCTCTTACATCTTAAATTAACCCATTCCTATTATTTTATATTTTAACATGAGGCTCACGGCCTGCTGGTAGGGTTTCAGCTGGCAGCCCATGTCTTTCTCCTCTGGTGACTACATGTTATCTCACTGACTCTGCCTACTCCCTCCTCCTCTCTCTGTTTGGAACTCCCACCTTGCTCTATTCTGCTAAACCACTGGCTGAAACAGCTTTATTCATTAACCAATAAAAGCAAAACATAGACGGATTTCCCATACCATGGATGTGCAAGTAACTCTGTGGTAGGATACAGAGATCGTCGGGTGTGTGCTCAGAGGTGGTGTGACTGGGTCACAGGAGCTTCTATACTGTAGCTATACCAGTTTGCACTCCCAGCAGCAGTGAACAGTGAGTCCCCTTTCTCCGTATTCTTCCCAGCATGTGTTATTATCATTGTTTTCCTTTGATACAGCCTTTCTCAAAATAGTTTTCACTTTCATTTCCCTGGTGGATAAGGCATCTAACAGTTTATAAGCATTATACATCAGCTATCTGTGTTTCTTCTGCTGAGAACCATTAGTTCAACTCATCAGCCTATGTCCTGATTGGCAAAATATTTTGCACTGTTTTTTCAGGGTTATATTCTAGATATAGCCTTCTGTCTGATGTATAGCTATCTCCTGCCATGTAGGCTGTTTGCTTTGCTGATGGTTTCCTTTGCCGTGCAGAGCATTTTTAATTTCATGTAAAACTCCTTTGACACATCTTGGGCTGATTCCTGTTCTATTGGGGTCAGACTTAGAAAGCTCTTGTTTGAGCCTCTGTAAGTCTCTTTATATATGGGAAACTATGCCCTTGTTCCTTAAACGTATTCCTGACAAACTAATGAAAGATGAAACATAGTCTTGCTTTCTGTCTCACACACTCTTGTTGGGACCCCAGTTATAACTGTCCAGTGGAATTAACAGCAGTATCTAACATTTCATTGTTAGAAAGAACAAATACAAATACAACCTGTGTTTGTAATCTATTTGGTACAGAAATTTGCCAATATTTTCTCCTTTTGCTAGTTCCTATTTATTCTCCCAGGAAGATCACAGTTAATTAGCCAAGCCTCTACTCTAGGCTGTCATCTGTTATAGCTCGGGTCTGCTGTTTTTGCTGTACTGGGACTCTTATCAGGGTAAAAGAACAAAAATTTGTAAAGTAGCCATGAAAAATTTAAACAACTTAAAAAAAACACACACAGAACAAAATAACAAATGACATGATCTTAAGTCCTTGGTGCCATGTTTTAGCTGTTAGGAGAAGGTCAAGTGGCCCACTGGGAGACAGGGAGGCATCCTGATGAAAGAGAACTAGTGATTGGTTGTGGATCTCTGCACCAGTTTCCATCAGTTACTGGATGTAGGCTCTATGATGACAATAGGGTGGTCACCAATCTGAGGACAGGGGAAGGCCAGTTCAGGCACCCTCTCTGCTATTGCTAGCAGTCTTAGTTGGGGTCATCCTGGGGAGGGGATGGAGGAGAGGATGGAGAGGGAGCAGTGGTTGCTTTGTTAAATGAATGAATAAATAAATTAAATTAAAAAGGAAAGAACTAAATCAGCCATTGCATAATATGTAGTATTTAGAAGCTGAAGACTGATCACCTGGGGTAGTACAATCCAAAGTGGGTGGATGCATAGAAAGGTGAGACAATCCTCTGTGGTTATAGGATGGCAAGGACCCTCTGTCCCTGTTCGTCACATGTATTTGTTCCTTTCTCATAGCTTTGAGAAATGTCCAGCAGAGCAACTGAAGGGGGGAATGATAAATTGGGGCTCACAGTTCAAATGTATCATGAAGGCATAGACAAGCTCTACAGTCCATGGGGAGGAAAGCATACGGCTATGCTGTTCACATGTGGATAGGGAAGCAGCCGGCAAGGCAGGAATAAGGAATAAAGTGGGGATTAAGTTTCCAAGGTTTGTCCCTAGAGAAGTTCGTTTTCCATATATCCCCTATGTCCTAAAGCCTCCAAGAAGAAGGCCATGAGCAGAGGACCTGGTGTTTGAAATGTAAGCCGGTGGAGAGAATTTTAGAGTTAAACCATATCCATCATCCAGATGTTTCAGAGGAGAGCAATCCCAGAGAATGAGTTGATTCCTACTGAGGTCCTCACCAAGGATGTGGTGGCTTTGAAAATTTTCTTTCCCAAAGAAATATCCAGCTGGGTGCAGGAAGGAAGCTGCTAGGAAATGGTCACCTAAATGATGTTCTAAAGAGGGCATGTCTGCTGCAGGATGGACAAGGCATATCTGTAGATCTTATCAAAACTAGTGGATATTTACCGAGAAAACATTACCTTGTAAGAGAATGCCCATCTAAACTGATTTTTCTTCTTAAACAATTAAACAGGTACATAGGCAAGGAAGAGGTTGCCAAGGACACCATAATTGCAAAGCTCACGTGCCACGACCTTGACAAGCCTCCTGACACAATTCATTATGTTCCACGCTCTGGCCCAGTAGTCTCTGGACAACTGTTTGACCAAGTGCCGAATGCTGAGAATTTCATTCAGGTGAGCCCCTGTGGCTGTCATTCCCCAAGAAAATGGTCATGATCAATAGGAACAGGAGACGACCTGATACAGTCGAGAATTCCGAGCCCCTCTGTTGTCTTGCCAGAGGCATCTGGGCAAGTTTTTAACCATCTTGTTCCTGCCGTCATTTTCTCCATATTATAATTCACTTCCCATTTAACTTGGGAAATCAGAAGCTAAAACACACGCTGATTTCCTTGAAGGTGAGTCCCTGTGACAGCGTATGTGACAATGGCTTGTTCTCCTGGCACAGGAAGTAACTGATGTCAGCTCTTCTTGTAGAGAGTCAAACTTTCTATTGGCAGCATATGAAGACTATAGATTTTTTTCTTTCTCTACACATGATTCGGCCTTAGAAGAAATTCCTCTTCTGAACCCCCAGTTCCTGTGACATTTATTTGCAGAGTGCCAATCTGAGATAGTTTTGGAAGTTTCTTACTCCGCTGTCACCAACTACCCTCAACCCACCCATTTCTGCTCTTAGCCAGAAACACATGACTGAGAGACCCACAGATGAGAGCCCTTTGTTTCTCTGATCCTAACCCCAATTTTTTTGACAAATTCCACAGCTCCAAGTAAGTTCCTGTGTGCATGTGAAATTTGGAAACTTGGGCACAGAACCAGGCTGCTTACTGGGCTGATACTCATTTTGCAATACAAACCCAAACTGTCATCTGTAAAATGGAATTTTGGATAAAGATGGGGGATTTGTAAGCAATATTCTAAGACCTGAGTGCTCACACATGCTTAATCTGTAGCTGAATGAATGCCTTTATCCATCGCCTACCTCTAAATGACTTCTGTGTTTGCACGTCTATCACATAGGCATTAAATGCCACTTATTCCTAAGAATGATCTCCTACCATCAAACAGTGCAGGTTGCATGCCACCTATGAAAACATTTAATTTACACTTTCAACTATTTAGTTATTGATCCTATTAGATTGTAATAGTTACACATATTTCTAAGTGGTTATCATTTGTGAACTAAAATGTGCTATACTGCTTGGTTCACAGAGGATACTAAGGATAAGTCCCTGAACGGTTGAATGAGCCATATGTTGAATTTTAAAAAGAGAAACTTTTCTATCCTGTTCCTTCGTGAATGGAGACGGAAGAGGAGTAGATGGGCAGGGGACTAGATTGGAGTCAGGGGGAGGGGAAACAGGAGGGAAAAGGGAGGGGAAACTGTGGTTGGTTGTAAAATAAATGAAAAAAATTAATAGAATAAAATAAAATATAGAAAAAGAGAAGCTCTTTCTGAACCTGGAATTTTTGGTGCCATATTGATTCATGTATTTTTGCCAAACTGAGATTCGTGCTAATACTACTGCAGTAGACGTTCTCAAGTTTCCGATCTCTGACTGTCACCGCCCAATGCCTACAGCTCTAGCTGAAACCTAACAGTACTCAGAAATGCTTTGAAGTAGTATCTTATATCAGGAAGAGCTTTCGTTTATCTATTTATTGATGTATTCTATGTAGATGAGTGTTTTGTCTGCATGCACATCTGCACACTGGAAGAGGAAACCACATCTCAGGGGACTGCAGTCAGACGTGGTGCTTGCAGCAACACAATTAGCAAGCAGTGCAGGTTATGATCTATATCTTCTTCCATGTCTGTGGCATCCTGCTGTCCCACCAAAATGCTCACTTACGTGTATCAGACTCACGTATCCTGAGATGTCATCCCCGGGAAATACAAACAGCCATAGGCACTTTGCCGGACTGACTTTTATTTATTTATTTATTTATTAAAAATTTCCACCTCCTCCTCGCCTCCCTTTTTCCTCCTCCTCCCCACCTCCTCCTCCCTCTCTAGTCCTAAGAGCAGTCAGGGTTCCCTGCCCCGTGGGAAGTCCAAGGTCCTCCCCACTTAAAAGCATGTACTTGAAAAGCTTTGGTTCTGGGCCGGTTAAGAGGCCCATTCTGTTAAGGCACCTGCCTGGCAATTTGAGTTTCATCACAGGTGTCTACAATGTGGAAAGAATGGACTCCTTCATGTGGTTCTCTGACTGCCATATATAAGCTATAGTGTGTGCCTGCACATCCACGTGAGTGCGCGCACACACACATGTGTAAAATGGATTAATGAAATTTTGATTCTGTTTTTCTAAAATAATGCTGTTCTTGAAGGTTACCAAAGATCTGGATTATGAAAACCCAGAGGTGGTTGCAGCAGGACACATTTATGAAATGATGATTTCGGTATTTGATGATCTACATCCATCTCATACAGGTAACCGTGATGGACTTTCCAAGGCTGGTCAATGTGTTATAAAAATTCATCATATTGGGAGAATGAGACAGACAAATGGGGGTTTCCATCACTGGGAACCCTTTGCATTTCTTAGTAGCACTTAAAATAACATAGAATTTTATATCTTGGTCTGACAAGAGATCTTAGGATTGGAAAAAGCAGGGGTGTGGGTTCCAGTTCTTATTCTTGACTATATATGTGTGTGTGTATAACATAAATATAAATATATATTTAGCATAAAGAATTATATGTGTATATATGCATATGTAATTCTATACATATATAATTCTTTATGCTAAATAATACCAAATACCCCTGACTCGGAAAGAGCTTGGTATCAGGCAACATATAGCTCAAACATATTTTTGATAATTGAATGTTTTAAAAAATATTTTAGTTTAATGATATTACATGATGTAAAGCTATTATTGATGCAAAATATGAGCCCCTTGCCAAGTTCCATAGCTCACGAACTTGGTGAGGGTGCTGGGCCTGGATACTGCTCTGTCACACAAGGTCTCATCATAACTTTCCTAGCGGTTTGTGCCAGCCTATGGTAAACGAGTCTGTGGGTCAATGAACTTCAGACTGCGTGGTTATAAAGTCCTTGGTATCTGTAGATTTAATAGTTAGAATTATACTGATCATGGACTAGTATCCTTTGGAGATACATGTTTGAATTGGATGCTAAGGATCTAGAACAGAGTGATTAGGAAGCACTATGCTAAATGAACTGCCCAATGTCTATTTCTCTTTGTTTACTCTTGTGTAATTGAAAACATACATCAAGTTTCCCAAGGAATTGGTAATTGCTCAATCATCAGTTTTAGTCTTTGTTTGTTTTTGACATAGAGATTTTTCTGGGAAAAGGTATTCTCAGAATTTTCAGGTTCTATCTACTGTTAATGTGGTGTCTCTCAAACCTAACAATTTACTGGGGTCATGTGGCCCTGCGGGTGAATTATAAACCGAAAGTTATGGAAGAAAACTCAAGTTTAATAGTAGCCTGACAGTGAAGAATAGTAGCCTATGTAAGGATGACAGTTGGGTTTCTTGTCTTATAAGAACTCTGAATCATTGCTGATGGTTGTCTCAATCATTGGGTTGGGATAGATTTTGAAATGGCATCTGGGATAAATAAGGAAGAGCTATTGTCTTTCATTGATGTAGAAGGTTGGAAATATAGAAGAGGTTTGTTTTTCAATCAAATAGAACTTAACCATGAACTGTAATCAATACATCCAGATTGCTCTCAATCTTTCTTGATTTCCTGATATAAAGATTTTAGTGGAGTTGCTATGATTGAATAGGAATGCTCTCTGCAGTGTTTGAATGCTTGGTCCCCAGATGGTGACACTGTTTGGGGAGGTTGTGGAGCTTCTTTGAGGTGACTCCTGCTGGAGGAAGTGAGTCCCTGAGGGTGGGCCATGAGATCCATGTCTTGAGCCTGTCTTTCTGTTTCCCAATCTGCTGAGACTTGATGAGCAAATGCCCATCGTTTCCTTCTGCCACACCTTCCCAGCTTTAACCAAGAGTCAAAATCTTTTCTCCATTGGTTGCTTCTTTCAATATCTTTATTCTAGTGACCAGAAATGTTACTAACACAGAGACTAAGTTTAAATGATGGTTTATAGAATTATATAACTACCCGGAGCAGTGCTATGTTGGAGACAGAAACCAAGGCATGACATCTTACCCTGAAGTACTTCTGAGTTTTATTTGATGATATAGGTAGAGCAACATGAAGAAGTCTATCATATAGCTCACAGTGACCTTTTAGGATGTGTGTTTTTTTTCCTCATAGCTAAATAACTTTCTTATCTCATCAGACTTGAACCTTTTTGAACAGAAAAGAGATAAAACATATTTTTCAACATCTCCCTTCTGATCCTTACACCCCAATATATTCACAGTAATTGCTCATAAAATGCACTTGCAAAATTGCACACTTGGTTCCTTCTGTTTTTATAGGCCAGCTAATTCACACAATTTGGAGTCTTTATGGATGCAATAAAAAATCAGACTATGGCAGGGCTGTAATGACACCTGCTCTTGCAACATATAAATGGGTTTATTGAGAGAAATGTACAGCTTTAAAGTAAACCATTTGTTTCTGTAGAATAGCACTCTCGAAACTTTCTAATGTATCAAGGATACTGTGGAGATTATGACAGAAGTTGTGGACACTCTCCTGGAAAGTGGACATAATAGTATATGCTGGGAGGCAAAGCATGCCGTAATGTTTCTGAAACCTTGGTAGTAGAGATCTCAGGTTTCTATTTAACCTACATGACACAGAGTTTGAGGAGAGGTGCTATACCAGACCTCTTTCATACATGAGACAATCTGTTAAAAGCGAATGTCATAGCCAGCAAAGTCTTGGGAGGAACGCTCACCTGGAGATACACAATAAATACTAGCAGGGGGGGAACCTCGAGAAGTCTTGCCATAAAAGCCTCTTCATTTTTATTTAATTTAGAACTTAGCATTCGGCACATTAATATCTCAGAGGTGACATTAACCAGTATAACTTGTTTTGGCATCTACTCCTTGAATTTTTAACCTTTGTTAGGTAGGTCCATGAATTTAATTCTGTTCATCTCAGTCTCTTTCTTGTGAAACAAGGGCAATAATACCAGTGTCCTCAGTGCTTTCTATGCTGTGTTATAATTTTACTTTAAAACTTTCTTGCTTTCAAGTTTCTTCTTTTTATGTTTTAATATCAAACTATTTTTTCCAACAACTATCTAATAGGCTACTTTAGCTTGTTAGCCTCAAATACAGAGTTCCTTCTTTTGCATGCAATGTGCAAAATTTGCAGTAAATCTTTTATTTTTTACCACACTTAATTATTTGATTATATATGTGTGTGTGCATGGAGGGCAGGCTATGCCATAACGCGCATGTCGAGGTCAGAAGACAACTTTCTGGAATGGGTTCTCTCCTTCCACCATTTGAGTCTTGGGGACTGAACTCAAGCCTTTAGGCTTGGGATCAAGCATTATTACATGCTGAGCAATCTGCCTGGCCAGTAGCAACTGCTTTTCTTAACCTTTTTATCCTTTGCAAATCTTTCTTGATCATGATCTCCTCTGACTTTAAGTCTACACTGTGATGTAGGAGATAGACACTGACTTGATTAATTGATTGATTGATGAGAAAACTGAGCTTCCGAGAAGTTAAATCTAGTTTAAAGTCATAGAATTTATGCTAATTCCAAACATCAAACATGGTTTTTCTGAGTCTTTTTCCATTTCATCTTCTAGTTTTAAAGCATGGTGCTGTATAATAGTTATTCAGCACTATGTATAATGTATAATTATAACATATATTTATGTATATGCAACTATACATGAATATGTTACAATTTAACATATATTCATGTATATGCAACTACACATAAATATATTCTATAATTACATACTTTCTACAAGAGAGTCTCTTCACGAAGGGACAATAAATGTGAGAATAAGGGTGAAATTATAGCTACTCAGACCACATCCATAATCAGGTCGTAGAGACTGAACAGGAGGTGGGGCTAGGTTATAAAACCTCAAGGCTCATGCTCTAGCTACCTACTTTCTCCAAGGAAAATCCTCTTCCTAAAGAGTCTACAAACTTCCTCAACAGAAGTCCCTTCAGCTGAGAACCAAGTATTTTAACACATGAGACTGTGGGGGACATTTCACAGTCCCACCACCGCTGTGGCCCTGAGAACACACAATGTGGGAATGGCAATTATTTGGAGGATGAGACTTCAACATTAGTTTCATAATGCTGTGCTAATTCTGTAATTGGAGACATGTTTCAGCTTGTAGAATAAAGCAATATAACTGTATTAATTCACTGCGCAATTTTACAGTGACCGTGACTATCCTTGTGGAGATTGCTCCCGACAATGATTTCAGTCCCAAGTTTCAAGCCTCACATTATGTATTTTCAGTTCCAGAAACATCAGGAGGTAAGAATGCCCTCCTTCTTAGACCTTCCAGTGTCCACAAGGAAACACCAGGTATCTACTGCGTGACCAATGAAAGGGGAACATGGACACTTACAGAACACAATAGACACAGGAGCACTGTGGGCATCAAATCCCCTGAGAAATGTTTGTCTTCTCTGGCGATGCTCTCAGAGTGTCATCCTGATGATGGCTCAAAGGCTACCTTGGGATTTGATGTCAGTTTTAGGATTTGTTTTTGTGAGGGACAAATGCACGTTATTGTCTTGCCTTCATTTCTCACCCATTTTGCCTCCGAGCAATGACTCAGTGTCAGCAAGTAGGGACAGCGAGGTTATTATCCATAAAGCACAAATTTTATGAATGACTGGGGTCAAGGTTTTAGGTCCAAAGTCGGTATTATGGCTAAGGTTCAATCTATTACAGTTCTTAACTAGATATGAGTTAGTATGTATTAGCTAGTCTGATTCTAGCTAATGCAGCAGTGGTAATAGCTGTGATCCTGTCATTCATGCAGGGGTCCAAAGAAACTGGCTTCAAACCTGTCTCTGATACCATAAGTTAGTGATCTCTGGTAACTCACATATCTATGTATCTTTGAGGGTTTCGTTTTATGGCAATTTCATAAGGACTATTTTTTTTATAGTATGAAAATTTGGAGAGTAAATTTTGATTACTTTTTAATAAATAAAATTATTTACTTCCTAAAATGTAAACGTCCAAAATAAACTGTCCATGCCGTTTTGGTATAGAGATGCCCATGCTTTCTTAGCAGAAGAGGATCTTGGTATATTTAGGGATAAGGTTTCCATCTGTCCAAAGCACTCAGCAAAAGAGCCAGGCCATTATTCCTTTAAAAGTTCACCTTTTCGCTCAGTTTCTACACCCAAATAGAAAATCACTAATTTCTTTAAAATATTGTCTATGGGACCAGGCCACAGAAAAATTCTGAAATATCTAAAAACATTTGGCTTGGGAAAAGCGTTTTCTTGAGCTTTGGAACAGTCATTCACCACTTTGTGTTTGAAGACACGCCCCAACAAACTTCTCTAGGAGTTAGAGGAAAGCACAGGACCTGGGCTCCTGAAAGGGACTTCTTCTGGAGGCACACCAGCCAGTGTGGGGGGGGGGGCTTGCTGCCATTCTGCCTACAGCATCTTTGAAGCTCTGCAGTTATCTGAGAGACTAAATAGTAGCTTCAAAGTCCCTGCTCTCATCTCATGGCTTTGATGTCCCTGAGAAGTTGGCAGTCTTTTCTTCAGCTTACTCCAATAATGCTCTGCAGAAAACTCTATGCCTCTTCCTCCTGTGTGTGTGTGTTGCTAGGGATTCAAACCCAGGTCTTCCAGGGCTTTTGTGCAAATGACGGTAATGCAAGTCCTGTACTTTTGAGTTCTCATCTGTAAAGGAAGGATAATAGCTGCTACATAGCAGTTATTGTGTGTATGGCTGACATTCCATGTATGTGGACCAGAGAGCACATGCTAGCTGTCGCATATCAGGAATCTTTAATTTTGTGTCTCTGTGGGAGTATGTGCACATGAGTGTGGGTGCTCACAGAAGCCAGAGATGCCAGATTGCCCCAGAGCTAGAGTTAGAGGCAGCTGGGAGTCATCAGCCACCGGTTCTGGTAACCGAATTTGGGCCTTCTGCAAGAGCACTGCTTGCTTTTAACTTCTGAGCCATCTTTCCAGCCTAGTAGCTGGGCTGTTTTCCCCATGCCAATTTCCCACTGCACGTCTCCTGGGTGCCGGCAGTTTTCAGTGTGCTGGAACATCTTCCTTCCTTTTTTTCAAAACACAAAAACAAAAACAAAAATGATCCCTTGATTTTCCTTATTAGAGCATACGAGCTGAATGAATGGAATTGAAGTGTTGGGATTTTTGTTTGTTTGCTTGCTTTGTTTCAAAGTCCTCTTGAATCATTTTCTTTTTTTATAATATAATTAATTACATCATTTCTCCTTTCCTTTCTTCTCTCCAAATCCCCTTATATATTTCTCTTTGCTTTCTTTCAAATTCATAGCCTGTTTTTTATTAATTGTTATATATGTACATACAAACATACATACATACGTATTGAGATATTCACCAAAGAGACAAAACCTCCGCAGCTCAAACTACCCTTAGGAGGACACTGTAAATGTCAAAATACACTGAACACTAATTTACCCTCAGAATATCAAATGTTATATCTAGAGACTTGGAGAATATTTAAATATTACATTAAGGAGCTGGGCATGAGAATGTCCAAGATAAAAAACATTGATGACAGTTTATGCTAGAGAGTATGTGTAGTAAGGGGAATACACCTTCATTGTTGGAGCAGTTGCTTTGTACAGTTGCTTTGGAAATCAGTATGGTGATTTCTCAGAAAATTAGGAAACAATCTACCTCAAGACCCAGCAATACCACTTTTGGGAAAATAACCAAAGGATGCTCAACCGTGCCACAAGTACATGTGCTCAACTTTGTTCATAGCAGCATTATTTGTAATAGCCAGAACCTAAAAACAACCTAGATGCATCTCAACCAAAGAATGAACAAAGAAAATGTGATACATTTACACAATGGAGTACTATTCAGTAGTAAAAAAAATAATGACATCTTGAAATTTGTAGGCAAATAGATAGATCTAGGGAAAAATATGAGTGAGGTAGCCCAGAACCAGAAAAATATATAATAAAAATATTTAATCACTCATAAGTGGCTTTTAGATACAAAGCAAAGAAAAACAAGCCTACAGTCCACAACTCCAGAGAACCTAGACAACAAAGAGGACCCTAAGAGAAACATACATGGATCTACATAGGCAAGAGAAAAAGACAAGATCTCCTGAGTAAATTGGGAGCATGGAGGTCGTGGGAGAGGTTAGAAGGGAAGAGAGGAGGAAGTGAGAGGAGAGAAGAAAAATGTATGGCTCAATAAAAACAATAAAATTGAAAGGAGCTGGGCACGGTGGGACTTGCCCACAGTCCCAGTACTTGGGAGGCAGAGTCAGGTGGTCCTCTGTGAGTCTGAGGCCAGCCTGGTTTCCACATCGAGTTTCAGGCCAGCTCAAAACAAAACAAGAAAAAACAAAACAAAACAAAACAAAAACCTGTACTAAAATCATTTTTTCCATGCTGAGTTGATTAGCACAGAAGACTTAAATATGTCTAGCAGATTACATGAAAATTATAATTATGGAGACCTGTAATATTTAAAAATATTACAGATATTTATAAACTGATAAGATGTGATGAACTAATATTTATAAAAATATTACAGATATTACAAATATTTATAAACCGATAAGATGTGATGAACTAACTAAAGTCTATGAAGGGATGTAGGTGTAGGCGAAGGAACTCCTTTATCAGTAGCGACTTAGAAGAAAGATGGAAATTGAATTATCTGGGTTGCGGGTCACAAGGGAAAATGCCTTCCATTTCCAGTACATTTTGATGAGGTTTGGCAGCATTTCAAGCTCCATAATTACTCTATTTAAAATTCAGCTAAAGATACTCAAGATAACATTTAGACTTTATTGAAAGGTTAATTTTGCCCCTTCAGAAGCATACGCTTCCCATTGTACTTAACCGGGTGTTAAACATGGAATGATCCTATTATTTTCCATGTCTGTAAGTCAGAGATCAGTTTTATTGGTTCTCTCTTCTCTGTGGCCATGTATCCATTGCAATATCCCTTTCTTAATAATGATGCTCTCGCTCAAGTAATAGATGCTTTCCCTTCTGGAACTGCTAAAATAAGAAGCCTTCTCTTTCATGAATGAGCTTCTTCTGTTGTTGATATCCTAAGCTGTGTTTGTGGCCTACTTAATAATTCATCACAAGAGACGAATCTTGATTAAAGGAGGATGCTGGAAAAGGAAATATCCTTTAAGGTTGAAAGTGTTGGGGATGGCACAGGAAAGGCTTTCTTCTTCATCATGACTCAGGGGAAACACCCATGCACCTGTTGGTGAGCTGGATAATCATGTATCAGATCTTATGTTTCAAGTATAAAATGATTGAAGAGAGACCTATCCTTGCTATAATCTCTTGCCAAAAGAATACTGTGTAATGACAGTTTGCTGATGATGTGATAGTTTACATAAGCGACCTCAAAAATTCTACCAAGAAACTTCTACAACTCAAACACTTTCAGTAATGTAGCAGTGATACAAGATTAACTCAAAAAAATCAGTAGCCCTCATGTACACAGATGATAAAAGGACTGGGAAAGAAATCAAAGACACAACACCCTTCACAATAGCTACAAATAGCATAAAATATCTCAGAGTAACTCTAACCAAACAAGTGGAAGACTTGTATGACAAGAACTTTAAATCTTTAAAGAAAGAAATTGAAGAAGACACCAGAAAGTGGAAAGAACTCCCATGCTCTTGGTTAGGCAGAATTAACATAGTAAAAATGGCAATCTTACCAAAAACAATCTACAGATTCAATGCAATGCCCATTAAAATCCCAGCAAAATTCTTCACAGTCCTCAAAAGAATGGTACTCAACTTCTTATGGAAAAGCAAAAAACCCAGGATAGCCAAAACAATCCTGTACAATAAAAGAACTTCTGAAGGCATCACAATCCCTGACTTCAAACTCTACTACAGAGCTACAGTTCTGAAAACAACCTGGTATTGGCATAAGAACAGACAGGAGGACCAATGGAACAGAATAAAAGACCCGGATATCAATCCATACACCTTTGAACACCTGATTTTTGACAAAGAAGCAAAACATATCAAATGGAAAAAAGAAAGCATATTTAACAAGTGGTGCTGGCGTAATTGGAAATCAACATGTAGAAGAATGAAAATAGACCCATGTCTATCACCATGCACAAAACTCAAGTCCAAATGGATCAAAGACCTCAACATAAAGCCAGCCACACCGAACCTTATAAAAGAAAAAGTGAGAAATACACTTGAACTCATTGGCACAGGAGACCACTTCCTAAATATAACCCCAGTAGCACAGACACTGAGAGAAACAATTAATAAATGGGACCTTCTGAAACTGAAAAGCTTCTGTAAAACAAAGGACACAGTAAACAAGACAAAACGACAGCCTATAGAATGGGAAAAGATTTTCACTAATCCACATCAGTGGTCTGATCTCCAAAATATACAAAGAACTCAAGAAATTGGTCACCAAAAGAACACATAATCCAATAAAAAAAATGGAGTACAGACCTAAAGAAAGAACTCTCAACAGAGGAATCTCAAATGGCTGAAAGACATTTAAGGAAATGTTCAACATCCTTAGTCATCAGAGAAATGCAAATCAAAACAACTCTGAGATTCCATCTTACACCTGAAAGAATGGCGAAGATCAAAAACACTGATGACAGCTTATGCTGGAGAGGTTGTGGGGAAAAGGGAACACTTCTGCATTGCTGGTGGAAATGCAAGCTGGTTCAACCCCTTTGGACATCAGCATGGCAATTTCTCAGAAAATTAGGAAACAACCTTCCTCAAGACCCAGTAATACCACTTTTGGGTATATATCCAAAGGCTGCTCAATCATGCCATAAGGACATATACCCAACTATGTTCATAGCAGCATTGTTTGTCATAGCCAGAACCTGGAAACAACCTAAATGCCCATCGACCAAAGAATGGATAAGGAAAATGTGGCTCATTTACACAATGGAGTACTACACAGCAGAAAGAATAATGATATCTTGAATTTTGCAGGAAAAAGGGTGGAGCTAGAAAACATTATTTTGAGTGAGGTAATCCAGACCCAGAAAGACAATTATCACATGTACTCACTCATAGGTGGTTTTTAAACATAAAGCAAAGAAAACCAGCCTACAAAACACAATCCCAGAGAACTTAAATGAAGACAATAAGAGAGACTTACATAGATCTAATCAACATGGGAAGTAGAAAAAGACAAGATCTCCTGAGTAAATTGGGAGCATGGGGACCTTGGGGGAGGGTTGAAGCAGGGAGGGGAGAGCCAGGGAGGGGAGCAGAGAAAAATGTAGAGCTCAATAAAAATCAATTAAAAAAAGAAAAAATAATACTATATAATGAACCCCATAAAAGGTAGAGTAACGTAGCTACCCCACCATAGGAAATGGGCTGCAAAAAGCCAGTTCATGCTCCTGGGACAGGTCCTGGTTCCACTGTCAACCATATCAAGTCACATAACCCACATTCAGAGGGTCTAATTTGGTCCCATGCAGGTACCCCAGCTGTCAGTCTGTAGTCTGTGAGCTCCCACTGGCTTTGGTCAGCTGTCTCTGTGATTTCTCCATCATGTTCTTGAGGGATCAGTCATTAAAGGCTAGGCTCACAACCAAAATAGAGCCAGTCACTTTCACAGAGCATTTTAACAGTCAGGAGAATATGTGTGTAAGCAGGGGAGGGGTATTCAGCAAGAGAAAGGCAATGTAATTTCTCAAAAACTTCTCATACTCTTGCCTGCACCAGGTTTACTAACACTATCTCATTGATCAAAGCAAGTCACAAACCAGAGCGCTAGGGTTGCCTGCATGGCTAATAACGTGAACGCAGAAAGGGCAAGGGATTTTGGCATCTCAGTTTAACCAACGTACTGTAATTACCGTTCTTCTAAAAGATTATCTGTGCATACTATTATCTGGAAGCATTGTGAAGCTATTTTTCAATCTGGCTGTAGAATTAGGAGACATGAACTTGAGTCCGACTAGTTCTGTAGCCTTGAGAGAATGAACATTCAGGGTCTCAAATCCTTATTTATAAAATCTACTCACATAAGGCTGTTGGGAAGATTCAATGAGAGAATTAGGCAAATAAAAATTATTATTTAGCTTTTACTATTACTCTAATTTTTCATGTGTTTCAGTTCACCCAATCGTCACAAGTCTGTATGGTAAATACTGTTATTGCACTTAGTCTGCAAAGAAAGAAAAAAATGAAGGAGCCTACAGAATTGTCTTTTTGTTACATTAGTAAGTGAGGCTGAGATTTGTAAACTAGATATTCTGGTTTCAGAGTCTGGCTTCTGAACATTATCTGCCACTAATGACAGCATAAAGATATGATAAAGCTAACTACTAATTTTACAAAGTTATTTTAAGTTGTTTCATTTGAGTGAACCCAGTACTCTAAAGTGGCTGAGGATTCTCTGTAAATCTATCTGTCATCATGCAGAGGGTTAGTCTTCAAACAGTCATTTCCTTGCAAAGGGATTTACGTTATCACTTTTGGAATTCAGGTTATCATTTAAAAAACTTTATCATAGTGTATGTGCATGAGAAAAATAAACATTGTGAACCATTGGCAGCCTTCTACAAAGTTGGACAAGTGACCGCCATTGATGAGGACCACCCGTCAAATTGTCTGACATACAAGATAATCAGTGGGGACATCCAGGCTGTACGAAGGTTCTGGATTCACCCTTTCTCTGGAGTGATTGAACTCACCAGTCAGCCAGACTATGAGTCGGTCAGGCAATATAACCTCACAGTACAAGTTGTGGACTGCGACAGAGCTCACCCACGGACCGCAGTGGCCACAGTAAGTGAAGAGTCACAGGTTTTGTGTCTATATGACTGAGCAATACATTAAGTTTCAGTTTATCACATTGGGGAGATCAGGCAGGGAATGGAGAAGCTTGCAATGTTCTCCTACTTCTCAAGTGCTCTATAACTTTTGCCGAAACTTCTCTTTCGAAGTCTGAATGGGGAGGAGGAACTGGTTCACTTCTCTCTCTGGTGTGAGTGTGTTCTCAAAAGCATAACATGAATCTTTATGGACAGCAAAGATGTGAAGAAGCTGATATTTACTTTACCAGGTGAAAGAGGCAATAGTCTGTTCACTTTTACCATACAGATGAGGCAACTGAGGCACAGAGTTTAGGAAATGTACCCATGGTAAATATAAGATTCATAGGCCTAGCACTAAATCCAGGCTGCTTCTACCTCAAGGCAATGTTTGTGATGCCATAGTATTGATGTGGAAGAGTGTATGTGTCTCTAACTTATTTTAGAAAGGCCAAAAGACTCTTGAAAGACATTAAGAATATGTGATGTACTTATTATGGGGGACACATCATTAATGAAGCTAAAGTTTTGCTACTGCACAAGGTTTTGGTTTTTATTTATTTATTTTTTGAGTGATTTTGTTACTGTGAGGAAAACATGAGACCTATTCACATCAATGATTAGAACTACTTTCAGAGGGCTGAGGGTGAAGCCTTGAGTCTGGGATTCTGAGGGTTTGCAGCTTTAGGATGATGCTCACGAGAGTGCTTGTCCGCATGAGGTACCTTGGCCAATTCCCTTAGAGCCGCTTAGAAGTTATGCTAGAGAAGAACTTATTCATTCTTTCTTCCTCTTAATGAAAATTTTCAAGTGTGTATGTACAGAATCTTGGCCTACAAAAGTATAAGATATTGTCACATATGCCTTTGGGGAGCTCACTATGTCAGGTGCGAAGATGATCATGCCAATGACTTTGATTTCCTCGTATGAAAAAGGTGATAGATAGGCCTTCAATATCCAGAAATGAGGGATCCATCCTCATCATCATCACCACCATCACCCTCATACAATTTTATTAAGAACTCAATAAAGTCAAGTGTTGTGTATGATAAGCTCTAGCTATATAAGTCAATCTCAATCCCACACTGCAAGGGTAGTTTTGAACACCCCTTCTACCCCTTTTTAATGCAAGGAAACATTTTATTTACACAGCTTAGATGCCTTAGAACCTAGTTGAGGTTACTCAGCTCAAAGAGACAAGATGAAGTCCGGGCACTTCTTGTCTGTCATGTGCCCCAAATTCTTTTTTTTTTTTTTTTTTATCCTTTAGGCAATTCATCTCTCTACTTCTCAACCATCTATTGCTAACATCCCGGCTGGGTCCCCAATGCCTATATTTGGCCTGATAGAGCAGACAGCTTCCTAGAACCATGTCTTTGCTTGTGGCCCTGAAGATTGCCAGAATGCCCCCTGAAAAAGGCCCACTGCCTGTCCTACGACCCCTTCATTCACTTCATATCCCACTGGACTAGGCTCCAGCATCATTCCCAAGGCCCACAGTGTTTGAATGTTCTGGGCCTGGCTATATTTAGCTTCTGTTCTTACTCAATCCAACCACTGAATTTTCTTTGTTTCTCCTATACATCAAGATGAATGCTTATTCTCCAGGTCTTATAGCATCAGGCTGATGTGGATGGATACTAGTGGGTAAACGATACAAGAAGGAAGGATGAATTAAACCTACAGATGGCAGCCCAGAGAGGGGGTGTGGGGTGCTGTGTGAGAGAAGTAGGGAACAACAGTCTGGCAGCAAAGACTCTGGAGCGGTAACTGTTCCATCGCTGTGACTAGACACTGGGCAAGGAGCAGCTTAAGTGGGTGGGGTGTGTTTTGACTTCCCATCTAAGAAGGTGCACACTCCCTCAAAGCAGGAAAAGCATGGCAACAGGATCACAAGGCAGCTGATTACCCTGCAACTGACCCTGCAACTGCTGTCAAGAAGCAGAGAGGCAGGGAGTGAGGTGGGACCAAAGGACAGCTTCCTCTGGTGAAGCTTTTCCCCTTAAAGGGGCCACATAACTTTTCAAAAACAGTGCTATGGGCTGCTGGTGATGAGTTTTCAAACACAGTCTATGGGGGGACATTCTACATCCAACCCCTGACAAGATTGTTTATGCCAATCAGAATCATACCAAACGCCAAACATCTTTGGACAATACGTACTTGCGCAAGAGCGTTATTCAAATACAGAAGAGCAGTAGGAGCCAAAAGGCGTGTCAGAAGAAAAAAGCTATCTTGGAAAGCTGTCTGAAAGTGGTTCCTGTTAGCTCTCTCTAGTTTCTCACTTGCAACGTCAACTGCTACAGGGCATTGCCAAGTATATTATTAACTGATAGGCCGCATATATTTAATTCTCCTGTAGACGATGAACTGTAGTGATTGAGAGATTTGGTTTGGTTCACGACCTTAGTGTCAGCGTGTTGGTCAGATACTTGGCACATAGTAAATATTCTGTCCAGTCAATAGTCAGCAAATGGATGACTTTACTTTCCCAATGGCCATAGCAAGGGAAGGAAAGCAATGTAACTTGTACCAAATGAAAGCCCCAACGAGTGGCAAGCTTAGGGTTTTAATGAAGATTTCTGGCTCAAGACCAAGTCTATTTCCATCATATCCTGGAAATCACACTAATCTGTTTATTTAACATTGAAAATGCCCTGCATTGATAGTACCAGGCATGGGTTCCCTCTTACAAAGTGGACCTTAAGTGCCATGGTTGGAGAGGTCACAGACCCTAGAAAAAGACCTGCTATTTTTCTAACCCAGTATAATTTCTAACTGCTTCCTAAACACTTATATCCACAGATAGGTGTGGCTTCATCGAGGAAGCTTCTCTTTGCAGCAGGCAGAGACTACCATAGAGATCTATAATTAGCCAAAAATTCAGAGAATTAGCGACTCTGGGGTGTCAAGCTCCATTTAGTACATCTATAGGGCAACCCTTCCACCTAAGGCTCAGGGAGTGTCATAGAAGATGGGGTGAACATATTCTAAGAGCCAGAGGACCAGGACACCTGATGCTAGATGTTGTCTTGCAGACATGTCATGGGAACTGTACCCATGAAGTCTCAACACTATGGCTACCTAAGCAAAACCTTCCTAATGACAATACCAGTTGACATGCTAACGTGGAAAGGGGAATTTCACAAGGCCCCAGCCCTAGATGAAGAGTTAAAGGCAGTCAATATCTATTGAAAGAAAGAAAATTCATGTTTCTCCTGACCAAGTGGTCAGTCCTAAGCACCTTTATGTAAGAGCCACACTAAAGGGACTCAATGGGTTGTATATGCACATATACTTACGTATGTGCATAAGTGTGTAACAATAATAATTATAGTCGGGCGGTGGTGGTGTACACCTCTAATCCCAGGATTTTTTTTGACATGCCTTTCTAGGCAGAGACAGGTAGCATGCACGCACACACAGACACAGACACACACACACACACACACACACACACACACACACACACACAGAGAGAGAGAGAGAGAGAGAGAAATATATGCGCACAAAATAAATAAATTAAAGGTAATTTGTAAAAATCTCACATATTCGATACAACATTTAGCTGTGTTCGACCTACGGAGAAGAAACATTAAGAATTGCAGGATTTCCTCCAAGCACTTAACTATGTCATTAAAACATTCCATCAACAAGTTTGAAAAGATAATTCTTGCAGATGTAGTCACACCAGGGATTCTTCTGCTAATGTTACTGGGGAAGCTAGCTATTCGTCATTGGAGAGGTGGGCAGAGAGCCTTTCCAGACCGACTGGCATTCCATCACTGACATTTTCAAATCCTTGATATTTCCATCTTTTTCCATGTAAATCACAGCTTCCTGGTTTATGGTAATTTAATTAGGAAAATGTCGATAATAGCCCTAATTAAGGTCAGATATATATTGTACTTGAGAAAACAATACAGAAGAGGCCCTTAATTAAGTTAGGGGAAATGTCTTCTGGGTGTATCTGCCACTGGACCTGGGCCGTTCGAAGAGTCCAGGGAGCTTCAGCTTCAGAGACAGGGGTCTTTAGCGTTGCTTTTGCTCTAATTTGCATGACTCTGCTTCCCATAGATGTTCATCTAAAGAGCCCGAAATTCTTCCTAAAGGGAACAGAGACCACCACAACCGACCCAAGAATAATAAACCATTGAGTAGGGACTGACAGCCAGAATCCACATCTCCAAGAACATGCCTTCAAACTCAGAAAAAAATTAGACTTTTTACTTAAAATTCTGGGTGATCTGCCCCTATCCAGATGCTCATTTCTGATTTTATTTATAGATTGTCTCATGATGTGGACGTGATGTTTCTTCTCCCTTCATCACTGACAGGTCACTGTTGACATTGAAGATGAGAATGATGAAGCACCCGTCTGCATCCCCTATCTGTCCACGGCCATCATCTCTGATGATGTTGTTGCTGGGACAAACGTCAATGGCCTCAAATTAAACTGCCACGACAGAGATTCACACGACTTTGAGATGCGCTTTGAAATGGCTTCTGGTGGGTACTTTAATTATTTCTTTTAATCGCAAACATATGTCAAGCTGACATTAGCTTACAATGTCAGACATGATATGTAACACTAGAAGTGACTGTTTATTAGGGCTAGACTATTTCATAGCTTAGTATCATGTTTCTTTGCAGCACCCTTTCAGGTCTTCAGATGCAGCTCAATTACTCCTGTGACTTCAGGACTTGGGAAAATGACATAGATTTTAGTACAAGAAATTAAGTTTGTTCTCCACAGAGCTAGCAGAAAACAGAATCCATCTTTCCTTCTGATGATGTTGTTACAAGTTCACAAGGCTAGATGGTTTTGACTGTATTATTGTTGGAACTACATAGATTCACATAAACATTACATCACAACTGTAATTTTGCTACTGTTATAAATAGTAATTAAAATACCTGGGTTTTCCAATGGTCTTAGGTGATACCTGTGAAAATGTCATTTGACCCCTAAAAGGGTCATGATCCACAGGTTGAGAACCACTGGTATAGACCAAGTTGAATGTGACAGTCAAATAAAGGAAGAGAAAAAGTAGTAGGGATAATAATCAGATACGAGCAGGAGATCTGCTGGCCGCATGTGGGGGTGAGACTCAGGACCTTAACTGTTAAAACATTTTTATTCTTTCCTTTTTCTTTTTATTGGTTTTTTTTCCTTTTCTGAAGCAGTGTCTTTTGTAGACCAGGTTAGCCTGCAACTCCCTATGTAGCCAAGGATGACCTTGAACTCTTGATCCTCTTGCCTCTTCTTTCCAACAAGCCTACTTTTTTTTTTTAGTAAATTTTATTAAATTATAAAAGTTTCCATTTCCGCCCCCCCTCCCAACCAACAAGCCTACTTTAAAACACTTTGCCCACGTATGTATTGATTATTTTATTTCAACTTTACTATAGGCTCTTTATAGGTATGGAAATTTACAGTAAAACACAAACTTTAAAGCTGTGTACATGATCTGTGTTTTAACATCATCTAAAGGTAGCTTGAGACAATTTGCTGTATTATCAACTAATTCCGACTTTCCCATTTTTTTTTTTGAAGGAAATGAAAACCTTCATTTCAAATTAGACCCAAGTCGGGGTACAAATACGCCCAAATTAATTGTGCAGAACCCCTTCAGCTTCGAATCTGGAACCGAAGTGCAGCAGCAATACCATCTTGTGGTGCACGTGATCGACGATAACCTGAAATACGGCAAAGCCATCAAACCCAAGACAGGAACCGCCGTCATAGACATTTACGTGAGAAGAACCAGCATGCCACCTGCTCCAACCAGTTCTGAAGTAAAGAATTACAGAATTTAATTTGGATCTCTATGCTATAAATAGTTTACTGCAAAGTCAAAGATCAGCCAGAAGTTCTGAAAGAATGATCTGGCCATCACAGTCCCTTGTAGGCTTTTAGACTTTTGTATTAACCCAAGCCAGTGCAGGGCTCTCTTGAACACTGTGCATCTGTGAATAAATATCGTGTGCGCAGGAATTAGAGAAAATTATATGCATACATATAGAGGACCACTAAACTGCCTGTGGAGGTCCCCTAAACTGCTGGTCGACTAATATGAAGGTCTTGCTCAGTAGAAGGGAGCACTATTTAGTGAATTAGAGTCATTAAAAGCCTCTACAAATGGACTCTTGCAAAGACTCTGCTGTCATAATAATGGACACCTATGATGTGCTGGGCTTCACACTGCAGGCCTTCCAGCCACCATTGCAACTCATCTTCAGCCCAACCCTACAACATTTAGCAGACCTTTTAACATTTTATCATTTATAAAGCAGATGTGGAAAACCTCTGCTGAATTATATAATGACTTATCAGCCACCCAAGGATGAAAGCTCCTACTCAGTAGACTTTAGCGTGCATTTTGCTGTTTTGTGGCCTTTAAAATAAAAACAAAAAAGTCTTTTTCCCTGAGTATTGATTTTCAAGAATGCACTGTTACCTCAAGCTACACAAAAGGGAGTAGATACCAGGGACATAGAAACCTGAAAGACCTCAGTTATCATTTAACCCCGAATGTTATAGATCAAAAGACAGGTAAAAAAGAAGAGACGGGATTTACTGTGGATCATGGAGTGGCCACTTTGTGCAGTGCCGTCTCTACATTCTTAATTTGGTGGCTCTTTAGCGTTTCTCATTGTTAGCTGGGCACTTACGAATATGCATGAGTCTGGATCCTACTGTCTGTTAAGATGGTGGTTCTACACTGATGTTACACCACGTAAACAGATGTGTTTTGAAAACAGGGACTAACACTCTGTTTGTTTTGAAATATTTTTTCCAGCAGAGGAAAGGTCTGACCATTGTGTACACAGCTATCAACACGTATGAGAACAGCGCCTGGTACGTGCCTTTCGTCCTCACGCTGATGGCTGTGTTCTTTGCTGGATTGGTTTCCTGGATGTGTTTTCTTCTTTGGAGATATGGAAATATTAAAGACTGCTCTCAGAAATTGACCAAGGAAGACTCCAAGTCAAAACTCAAGTATGTGACTTTTTTCTAAGTTTGATATTAAGAATTGAAAAACAAATTTGTGAACAAACAAACACGCTTGTGTTATTTTGCAGCAAAGTGGTTTCATGGGCAGGTGTTTGACAATCTCTAGGCATTAACTTAGGGACTTGTAGGCAATAGATGTCAGCTCTGGCTCCATTCAACTGATTGGTTTTAAAACTTATTGAGGCCAAAGAAATGGATAGAAAACACACCTGCTTTTGTCACCATTTATCAATACAATTCTTCAGGGTAGAGAATGCAATAGCTTCAAAAGTGGAGTTGGCCTATAATCCCAGGTCCCTAGGAGGCTGAGGCAGGAGGATTGCAGATTCAAATCAGCATAATTTGGACCATTTGTATCAAAATGAAAAGTAAAGGAAGGAAGGGGATGAAAGTTAACAGCTGAGTGTTTAACTGGCATATTCAAGGCTCTGGATTCAATCTTAGTCACACACACACACACACAAACACACACACACGCACACACCACTGTACTTCCATGTAGTGTAACACACACTCTAGAGCTGGAGTTGTATTTTTGTTAACCACACAGGATTTTTTAAAAAAATGGTGCAGTGGAGCAGATGGAAAGAGCTAATGAAAATCACATTGTTGCTGTTTTTAAAAAAACTAGTTGTGCTAACAATCACATTTTAACTATTGAATGAAATTATTTCCAACATACATTGTCATAATTTAACTGGTGTTTTGTCAAATTTTCTTTTTATACAGAGGAATGAAGTATGTTGTAGGTAAGATGTGATTTACTAATTATGCTTGAATTATGTAATTTTAAAATTTCATGTATTTATTTTAATACAACATTTTCTTGACTTTTTGAGATTTTCTTGAAATGTATTTTGATCACAGCCACCTCCGTTCTTTCTCGTAAAATTTCTTAGATTCACCCTCCTACCTATCCACAACTTCATGTCCTCTGAGAATGGCTGACTCACCAGGGACAATACTCTTAGAAGAGAAAAACAAACAAACAAACAAACAAACATGACTGGTACCCCCTTTGCCAGAAGTCATCAAATGTCCCTGACTTGCTCCATGCTAGGCTACCGAGAGGCTTGTTCTCATGCAGGTCTTGCGCTGGCAACCTTGCTGTTGTGAGTCCTGTCATGTCCAGAAGACATGGTTTTGCTCATATCCTCCGTGACTCTAGCGCTTACAACTGTCTGATCTTCCATGATGGCCCCTGAGCCTTGGGAAGAGTGTTTGATACAGGCGATCTATTTGTGGTGGAGCACTCCACTGGCCCTGATTCTCTCCACTTTGGCCAGTTGTGTCTTTCTGTGTTATTTGCTGATGAGGTCCAAAATCTGCAGTAATTTATTGGTATAGTGAAATGAATTTCGAGGGATACTTGACCCCTTTGGCAGGATAATAGTAGTAGGTCCTCTCCCGGGATGTATGTGCTCCCAACCATTTGTTCTTGGCTAGATTTATAGTGCCAGACATTCTTTCCCTTTTGAGAAGTTGGCCTAAAAGTCAATCAGAAAGCAATTGTTTTCCTATAACGTTCATGTGGTTATTGCACTCATGGACAGAACTTACTAAGTTATTAAAGCTATTAAATGTGGCTCTTAAAGCTCATAGTATCAGAGTTGGGAGTGCTGGTAGCAGCTTCGTAACCCCAGCAGCTTACAAAGCACTCTGGCTACTGTGGAAGCTAGACAGCAGGGAAGAGGCTTCCCAATCAATAGCAACTTGAATTCTCTGTGTCCTATGACAATGTACACAGTGACTTCAGCAATGAGTATCACCATCAAGTTTCAGCAGGCAATCATGGGTAATGGCAACAAGCCTGTATTTTGGGGGGAATCTCCAGGACACCCCAACTAGCAGCTTGAAGAGAAGTATCCCTATTTGCTGTGGGTTTTTTTTTCAAACAAGGTTTTTCTGTGTTGCTGTGGCTGTCCAGGAACTTGTTCTATAGACCAGGCTGGCCTTGAACCTACAGAGATCCATTTGCCTCTTCCTCCCAAATGCTGGGATTAAAGGCATGTGTTGCCACCACCCAGTGGTCCCAGGTTTTTTAATTTGGCAATCAGTGGCGCTCCAATTAAGTTGTTTTATATGAATATATACGTATATAAATGACCCTTACAAATAGTAGATTTTTACATACGGCATTCTTCGTGTTATTTTAAAAATATGGACTGCATCACAAATTTGCTTGTTGTCCCTGTGGAGGAGCCATGCTAATCACTTCAGCTTTAGTGTGTGGATTTCTGCGGTGACCACATTTTAATTTCAGTTTTGTAGGAGGTTATAGGACACCTGGTGGGAGTCGGGTTTTCCCTTTTACCCTGTGGGCACCAACCTCAGGCTGTCATGCTTGTCGGCAAGCATCTCAGTCCTCGGTCATCTTGCCAGTTCAAATGACGTCACTTAAAAATGCTGCTCACCACATACTTGTCATTTATTTCCTACTTTGTTTTTTTTTTAAAACAGGAGATAGAAATCAAAAAGAAAAAAATGCTATCACAGAAACCAGAAATAAAAAGCTGGAAGTTCTAACTGTAAGTACATTTTCATCTATTTTTGTTACATATTAAAAGATTTTCCTTCTAAGGATATGGTAAAATCTATTCAAGCTTCATAGGAAGGAAATAAAATTTATTTTAGTTCATCATTTTTGCTAAATTAGTGTGTGTTACAGAGCTTGAATTTCAGAAACTTGGGGAGATCAAAATTTACCTAAAATATATGTGCACGTAGCAAAAATGACTCTAGGCGAATGTAAATCTAGCATTATTTAATACTACTTAGAATATAAAACTATATTTGAAATTATTATACATGGGGCAGACCTGGGCAAATGCCTCAATGCTAGAGTCTTTAGCAGATGGTAAATCTACGCCCAGAGAAGCAAATCAATTCAAAGTGGCCAAAGCTTAGTTGATGTGTAATTCACATAAATACACCAGAAAGGGCTGGATCTCAGATCCATAATACAGCATAGAACAAGACAGGCCACCTTTAGTTTCATTCTCCTTGCCTCCTGTGCACTTTGAACATTCCCACCAAAGTCCTGTTGGGCCCCGGCCTTGCTTCATAGGCTGGCTCCCTCTCAGTGCTCCACTCTCCCCCTTTTCTGTCAGGAGGCTGAGAGTGTTCTGGTGTTTTCCTAAAAGAACACTACAGACTGCCTGGCTTAAACAACAGAGATTCATTAGTCAGGGTCCTAGAGGCGGGATGTTCAGGGTTCTGTTGAGGCTCTTTGGCCTTGAGGACAACCTGTTGTCTTTGCCCCCATGGGCTCTTGTCCTGCCGATCATACTGGGCTAAGATCCATATCTTCATTTTACTTCACTACCTCTTTAAAGTACTCCCAAACACAGTGGCATTCTGAGGGACTGGAAAGCCAGGAAGCTGGCATACAGATTCGGAAGGAAGGGCACAGTGTGACCTATGACACGTCTCATACAATAGTCCCATGAGAGAAGTGTCCTAGTTAACAGAAGTCACGGCAGGCAGACCATCGTAAGGGATGCTGAGAGGAAGTGAGACCGCCAGTAACTAACTGCTAACCTTCTACAGATGGGAAAGATGGGAGGACTTAAAAGAAATCATGTTCTAGACTTCTTTCTGTTGCTGTAATAAAATATCCTGACAAAAATTCAACTTACAGAAGAAAGTTTATTTTGTCTCATGAACGCAGGGTCCATCACTGCAGTGACGGGAGCTTGAAGCAGCTAGCCACATCACAGTCGGCAGCAGAGAGAGCGATAAACCCATGGAGGCTTAGGGTTCCCCTAGTTTTCTCTACTCTTACTTGCCCAGAGCCCCAAACCAGGGAATGGTGCCACTCACTTTCAGGCTTGACCTTCCCACATCAAAAAACACACTTAAGTTCCCCTCCCGGACACGCCAATAGTTCACCCTGACCTAGGTAGCCCTCTCCTGAGCCTCTTTCCAGGTGATTCTAGGCTATATCGAGTTGACAGAAATTAGAATTAGCCATCACAAGTATTCAACACATGACAGAAGTAATTTTATCAAGTTGGCTTTATTGTTTATGTGAGCATTATTTTTTTTTAAGGAAACCACTGTATATGAAACTGTGTTTGATGGAGAAGCCATTGATCCAGGTATGATGCTTTTGTATTTTTTGAATTAAATACCGTTTGTGGATTTAGAAACTCAAAAATATGAATGGATTGATTATTTACTATGCTTTGCAAAAATAACCATGCTTGAGAAAGCTACTCCAGGGCTAAGAAGGGATCAGATCAAAAAAAATGAGTTGAATTATCAATGGCATTTAATGCTTGGGGGCTATCACCCTTACTTAGTCCTATCAAATTATTGCCCACCTGGATATAGGCCAGAAATTTAGAATTCCATGAGCCAAAAGGAACTGGACATCTACATTATTATATATGAAATATGCATCTTTAAAATATAGATAACAATTTAGTTAACTCCATTAAATTAAATAAATAAAATATACTTTTATTCCTGATTATATGTTTCTGGGTACCAAACAGCCCCAAAGGTTACTGGTTTAGGATAATAACCATCTTATTATAATTTATACTTTAGTGTGTCAGGAATGTAATGAACCTGGGAAGTTCTTTATCTTTCTGTGGATAAGTGATGCCCCTCCAGTTCTGTTCTTCTGGCTGCTCGCCTGATGTCGTGGGTCCACAGTGGTTTTACACACAGCTTGACATCATGGAAAGACATTTGCAGGTTGAGTGTAGTTGGGTCCTCTGGCCTCTTCATGCACTTTCCCTGTCAGAACTAGCTGCGCACTGGCCACGGTAACTTGCATCTTTAGATGGAGTTCCAAGGACCTTGTCACCTTTTGAGACCCAGCCCTGGAAATCCCAGGGCATCACATCTGCTGGCCTATTGGCTGAGCCACCAGTGTCTTCCCAGATTCTAAGCAAGTGGCACTTGAAACCTTGGTAAGGGTCAAGCTCAAAGGCTGCCTTAGCTGTAGGCCTGATGGGTCACAGTTTCGCAGCTCTTATCCTATCTTTTATCTGTTATGAATCCTAGGACTGCAAAGCAGACCATACCTTCGTTTTATAAAACACTGCATAAGCTTTTCTTTTCCGTGCACGTCATCCTAAAGGAAGAAAGAGGCCTCGGGAATGGTTAGAGGCGTAAGACAAGCCACAGATTTGGAAGTAGAAGGCAGGGGCTTTGAAGTTGATGTCATTGACACCCTTCCTTGTGAGCTTGGTGGAGGCATTTAATATTCCAGAGTCTCCCTTTTCACAGCTGAAAAGTGGGCTTTGCATGTCTCCTGGGGGTTGCTGTGCAATTTAAATATGACCCTAATGTATATAAGAATAACTTTGTCAAATGCCATGCAGCATGAGTTATTAGTAACAACAGTCTCACTAGACTGCAGACTCTTGTGATATTTCTCTGTAATTTAGCTCCTGCCAGCTCTGGGTGTCTTGGCATGAAATCAGTGATATTTTATTGCTGGCTTCCAGGTTTTCCCTAAATAAAGTTACTCTTTAAAATGTTTTATTAATTGAAAACGCATCACTCATCCTTACCTGTTGTATGTTAAATAGGCTCCTAGGAATTTCAGTCTCCAGTAATTTACTAAAAGTGCATGTGAACAAATTCAGTTGCTGCCAGATGCCAGGCATTGCTTGCTGTTCTCATTCTTCACAACAACAAAGGTTGCATTTGATTCCCAGATTACTGTGATGGAAATGCCGTCATTGTTCCTGTTTAATTGATACTGAGTCAGAGGCTTGGAGAATGGGTTACAGTCACGTGGCTTTCTATGCTTTCGGAGGCAGGGAGGAAGAGAGTTGATGTGCCTTTTTAGGACAGACTGGATCTTAAGAAGCAGGAAGGCAGAAGCAGATGAGGAGGGTACCAGAGTAGCAAGGTGACTGACTATTAAGTGCCCATAAGTAGGTGATATCTTTTACCAGATTTCCTGGCATGCGACTCGGAGAGCAGTGGGTGTGAGTGACTCCAGGCTCTCTCCGTGTGTCTCCTCTATTGCTACTGTTGTTGCTATTTTCCATTGCTTGTGATTGAACCTGGAATCTTGCCTGCACTAGGTCAGTGGTTCATCACTTTGGGGTCTTGCATGGACTAGCAAGTGGTCCATCACTATGGGATCTTGCATGGACTAGACAAGTGATCCATCACTGTGGGATCTAGCATGGACTAGGCAAATCATCCATCACTGAACTATAACCCCAGCTCATACTTTACCATTATTATTGGAAGTAATTAAATTTTTTCATACTATTTTTGACTTCCTCTAAAATTAGAAATATGTATACATTTAGTCAATACTTTAACACCATGCACCAGGCTTGTAGGTGCTGTGTAAACATAATCTCTTTTGGTTTTTTATGTCAAATGTTCACAATTACAAAATTATGCTTTTTATTAAAAACTACTTTAATCAGTATGCGTTTGTGACTGTGTGCTTTTCTCAACTGCTCTCTCCCTTACTTTTGAGGCAAGGTCTCCCACTGAACCTGGACCTCGCTGATTTAGCTAGAGTGGGCGACCAGTAAACTCCAGAAACCTACCTGACTCTCCACCCCGCTACTACCAACACTGGAGTTACAGATGTCTTCCTCTGGGCCCAGATTATTTTTATTATTAACTAAGAAAAGTTCAAGCATCACGCATGTAATGCGCTTTAAGCAAATTCACCTTCCTTTCTCATCTCCAGCTTCTCCCCCTCCATCTCCAACACATTTTCTCCCCAACTTTATATATTTAAAATAAAACCACCAAAACAGCAACAAAAACTCGCGGAGTCTACTTAGTGTTGCCTGTGTGTGTCTAGGGCCATCTACTGGAGCCAGGGAAGCTTCTCAGCAACCCCATCGCTTGTCCCAACCCCAGCATCCATAGTTACTAATAGACCCTCCCATGCACATGCTGAGATGACGGCTGGCCTGTCTGGTGCAGGTTTTGTACATACAGCTACAGCCACTTTGCTTGTTTTGAACCCAACTGTTAGATATACAACATAGCTATCATTATCAAGTTCCATTGTAAACTGTTGGATAAAGGTAAAGTTGTGTGTGTGTGTGTGTGTGTGTGTGTGTGTGTGTGTGTGTGTGTGTAGAAAGGGGATTTTCAGTGAAGACTGCTGTTCATATGCACGTTAGAAGACTCATCCTTCAGTGAATGGATTTTGAGGAGCTGGCTCAGCATAGCACAGCTCTGCAGGACGGTGATATTAACCTGCCTATGTTCCTTCTTATCATTGTTTACCAAATGTTAGGTAGGGCCTAGAAGGTGAGGTTTAAATTCCTGCTTGTTTTTGGATTCAAACAAACACAGATCACCCTGCAGCTTTCTTCCTGCATTTGGCTGTTAGGTTCAAAGCTCGATAGTCACTTACAGATGGTTTAACACTGTAGTTAACAAATGCATACCTCAGTTTCCCTATTTCTAAGAGGTAAGCACCCCTCCAGCACAGTAGGTGTGTTTGTCATAAAAATATTGCATATACTTCTCTGAGTACTTCTACAATTTGAACAGTACCATAAGAATAAATTTTCTATTATTGTTAATTTTTGATCTAGCCATCTAATAAACAGTCATGATCGGCTACTTTCAAGCCTTATTGCCCATATTCTTTCTCCAATATCTTATTGTTACTTCTAAAAAGATTGATTGATAAATCCTTAAATCAATTGAGGAACTTGGGAGGGGAGCAGACTCAGTGACAATTTTGAGCTGTTTTTTTTAACCTATAAAAAGTAATTATAGGCTCACAAAATTGTCAAAAACCAGCACAGAATTACTTCATACCTGTTACCAAGGTTCTCCTAAAACGGTGGTTCCCAACATTCCTAATGCTGTGACCACTTAATACAGTTCTTCATGTTTGGTGACCCCCAACCATGAAATTATTTCATTGCTACTTCATAATGGTAATTTTGTGACCATTATGAATCATAATGTAAATATCTGATATGCAGGATATGTGATCTACGACCCCTGTGAAAGGGTCACTTGACTCCCAAAGGGATCATGACCCATAGGTTGTGGGACCCACTCTCCTAAAGGGAATATCTTTGAAAATTGCAATACATTGTCCAAAGTAAGAACCTGACATTGGCACAGTCAACTGGACCAGAGGCTTCAGACTCCATC